GTTTGAAATAATTCTATATAGATCGATCATTTAAACCATGATTGCCTGTTCGTCTTATGGCAGCAAACACGCTAAACACCTCACAAAGTCATAGAATTTCTGCATACCAACCAGCAAACCAAAGGCATTGTCTGTGTTTACACAGAACAAGAAAACAACCAGTAATTAGCATTCTGTGTAATCTAGTGAACCCAGCTGAAAATAACTCCAATTGTTAAAAAAGTAAACCTAGGTTTATAAATTGAAGTAAGCCATTGCAACAAGTGAAGCAGGCCACACTGTTTCACAAGTATCAAGCTGATTAGCTCAGGAACTACATTAAAAGCCGAGGGTGGCGGGGGAGAAACAGAAAAAATATAGGAGAGTGCAGCCTCTTTACTAATTGCTTTTTTTTTAGGTTATAGTACTGCACAAATCAAGAGAGGAGATGCTTGTGAGGGTGACAGTGGGGGCCCTTTTGTCATGAAGGTAAGTTTCTATGTGTGACTACAAAACATAAAATGGGCATACTGCTGGTGTCACAGGCCCCCTATTCATCAGTCTGCAGCAAGAACCAGAGTGCAATTTCCCCTTTCTAATGCCACCGTTCATTTCTTTTCAGAAATATTCACTTTAAGAGCATTACAAGTTAATTAAACATATCATTAAGAGCAGGAAAGCAGGAATTTACAATTTAGGTGAATTTACAATTACCATTGGGTGTGGCACAAGCAGATATAGCCCTTGAATTGTAGCAGTGCTAACTTGGAGCTCAAGATCAGAACAAGCTGTCTCAGACAAAGCTCAGCATGTCAAAACTTTTTTTAAAAGCAACTGCCTCAATCTCAGTTTAGAAGTCTCAGTAAGAGCCGGGCCTATAGGATCTTCTTGGAAAAATAAGAGAGAGAACCTTCTCACTAACACAGCCCAAATTCTGAAGTTCCTGTCTTGACATAAACCTTAATTTTTTCTGTTGAATATTTTCCCTATGCTTTTCAAATAAGAGTGAAAAACTAGACTCAGAAATGTTCATGGGCTACCTCTTTCTTGCTTATAGTCTTGTAGATTACACAATCTTTCTACTGGTTCTGTTCATGTTTCTTTAAATGACCTACAAATGCTATTTGTAATTTGCTGTTGTCCCCCCACCCCGCCTTTGATTCTGTGGCACTTCTTTCCTCCCTACCAGGGTCCAAATCGGTGGTATCAAATAGGTATTGTCTCCTGGGGAGAAGGTTGTGATCGTGATGGCAAATATGGATTCTATACCCATCTGTTCCGTCTGAAGAAATGGATGCAAAAGACTATTGAGAAACATGGCCGTTAAATAGGAACCAAAATTTGCATTTGCACCTTGGTTTACAGATATCGAATAATCAAACAGTACAATACTAAGAGCCTACGTATGAAAATAAACCGAAGTCCTTCCTGAATAAAGATTTTTAAATAAAACACTTGGGGTTTTTTTCCTGGTATCAATTGCAGGCAATTTCTACTGAATGCATCAGCCAAATCATCCAGATAATGGAAGGGACATCCATGCCACGATTACACAAAGCTCACCTTTCGAATCTGACAGAACGTTTCTGCATTCCTAAATGTATACCTTTAACAGAGGAAACTGAAGCAAATACAAGTAGAAAGAAGTTGGCTTTCCTATTTCTTTGGAAAGTAAAGTGTTCTGAGGGAAAGAAATTACACGTAGCAGAGTTTTAACATGGCACAGATTACAAATAGGCAAAGGTTTTGCATTCAACCACGTTTTATTCTATTTAGATAAAAACCAGCCTATTTGTGTGAGAAAGATCCCTTTCTGCTTGAAAGGCAACAACAGCTTTCATCTTAAATGTCACAGTTGATTCCATTGTTAGAGAGGTTGTTACCTCGTTAAAGGGCAGGCTGTTGAAAAGGCATCTTTGGACCAGTGTTGTCCAAGGTTCATGCCCACAAGCCCAGAAACAAGAAGATAGGCTTGTTTGTTAAAGTTTGGCAATAACAGCATTTATTTAGTTAAATATTTTCCCCTGAACAATCAAGGAGTATCCATTGGAAGAGGCTAATTTACAGTTTCATTTGTAACTTCATACCCTTCAACCTCTAACAGACATTCTGATACTTCAAACACTCAATGATTTAAAGAAAAAGGTAAAAATGAAACATAGATGTAATGGAAGTATTAAAAAAAAGCAAAAACAACATCAACATAACGCTCTTAATGTACAGAGATATTTGAATTAGATTTTTCACCCAACAAATGGTTAAAGAAAACATCTAAGCATCAATTTTTTCTTGGAACTATTTATGACAAATTTGCATGCCCATTTTCCTGCATCTATTATTATACTGATTAATACTGTTGCACCCATACTATTTTTCTGTTAGTTTTATGCAACAGACATTAAAAATGAAACACTTGTGGAAAAAAACAACCCTGAGTTAACTAGTAAAAACTACTACTTTAGACAAATACAGTATTTTAGAGACAGAATTTCTATCGAAGTCTTCTAATGCAATGCTTTTGGGTGCATAGAAACTAAATACGTGTTTCACAGACATCATGAAAAAAAAATTAAGACCTAAGAAATCAGGAGAGAAAAAAATTAACCTATCATTAAATGCTACAGTACTGTATTTGTTTCAATACAGTAAATACCAACCAGATATTTGGTTTAATTTAGTTGGAAAGCATTCTAATTTCTGTAGTTTCATGCAAAAATTCTTTTATTAAAAATATGTCCAAACTCAGTGAGAAACTCAAACTAGCATGATTTAACACTAACAGGACATACCAAAAGCCTTTGCATATTTTTTTATAACATGATTTCTTCTGAAAAAAATAATTTTATCATAGGTCCCCTTGTAAAAGGAAGCAGAGCCAGTCACATAGTACTTCTTCTTCCAATGGTCTGATGGAATTGTGATGCTGACATTGGAACTAGCTGAATTATCAATACTTTCATATGCTGGTGCCAATGAAATGTGAGAACCAGCCACCAGACAGGAGGTTTGCATCAGAACTTGTACACTACGTTGAGTTATAGATGATTTTGCAAAAATTAGCTTCTTTGTATGCTTCTATATTGCCAGTTCTACTATTCATTCAACCCAAAAAGGAAAAGTGGAAGCCAATAATCAAACACATAGCCCACTTTGCATTAAATAGGACACATTATAGATGAGCAGAATAAAACAAAACTCCTTCTCTTCGGAGAAACTCATAGCAGCAACAATGCAATGACTTCACTATTTTTAGAGCTGTCAGTCACTTTTAATACAGCAGCAAACATTTCTCCACTTACTAAGTGAAGCTCTATAAAGACAGAAGAAGAAACTGAATATATTACATAAGCATCCATTAAGTAACAAAGCTGATAACCAAGAAATATGTTCTCTATATAGTAACTGAGAAAATGTCATCCTCTGAACCACTGACAAAAAAATTTAGTTCTATCTTTTCTAGAAAAGATTTCATAGTTACTCCACTGAAACATTGTATCACCAAGATTCAGGAAGTTCAGAGAAACTAATGGTAAAAGGTAACATTTATTCAAATGTCCTGTAGAAACATCTCCATTAGTTCTAAGTTAAAGCTAAGAATGGTTTAAATGCTATGCAGCATTTTGGAAATCAATATTAAAATGGTATTATCAAAATGTTAAAAGCCACACACTGTAAGGAGAAAAGGAAAGAAGCTAAGTGCATTGTTAATCAACATGGCTAATATATTTTAGCTCAAAGGCTTCACTTCCAAATATTATTTCTAATACCCGAATATTTATGTTTATCTCCAGATTCTATAAGTGAACTCTTGTATATTATTGAAAAAGTAAGGATTTGTTACTATTTCAAATAATGTACCAGAAGAAAACTATGTTAGCAAAATACATATATTTTGGCACCATTTCAAGGCCCATCATAGTGCTAGCAAATTATTATTGTGGTTTTTGAACACAAGATATTTTACCCACTTAGATAGGTGCTGATTCATTCTTCAGCTGAAAAGGCTGCAAATTAGAATAGGTTTCAAGGCAAGTGGAGATAATCTTCTAAGTAAGAAAATCTACATATTACAGATAATTAGGCTTATTACACCAATTTTCCACCAGATTACATATCATATATGCACCTACTGACCAATTATATTTTTACAGATTATTACCAAGCTTGATTGGTTGCAATATAGAACTGTTACTGTATAGCACCAGTGCCATCAGCCAAAGCTTAACAGGCATAAAGATGTAAATGAAATCTATGTCAGACATATAAGCAACTGATACTCCAGGAAGTATGATACGGGACATATAGTAGGAACATGGAAGGTGCTAAAGAGCCTACAGAAACTCTGTGTTATGACACCCGGAGGAAGAGATCTTATGAGGCAATCATGAATAAAGGAGATGTAAGTTAGCCAGATAATTTCTCACAACTCTAACAATTGTGCTCTGAAGTGGATGGATATTGTGACAAATAGTGTGATCTTCAATGGTCACAATATCCATTCACTTCAAAGCACAATAATTTTGGAAATAGAGTCCCAAATATTTCAGTCATTATTACAATTTCTGGTGATATATTTCATACAAACTTGCTAGCAGCTTCTGGGATAGAAAGAGAAAATGGATTCATCACGATTATAGTAACATTAAGAAAAAACTAATTGTTTGCCCATCTTAAGTTCAGAATACTTCTACTATCTTGAGGAAATCTAATATTCAAAAAGGTTTAAAACCAGTCCTCAATTAAGATTCTAGGAAAAGATCTGGAAGATATTGTCTGAGATATAAAATGTTCGGGCTTTGGGTCAAGAGTTTTCTGTAAGCACAATATTATTAATATTAAACATTTCCTTCATCTGGAACACATTTGTACATTAGTATCTCAGCTTCTCCTTGTTTTCCCAATGAAAGTTCACTTGCTATAGTGACTCATACACACACTCACTTAACAATTAAAATGTGGAGTCACAATAGCAATTAGGAACATGGATGAACATTTGCCATCAAGTCACTGCTGCTCCCACAGAGAGTTAATGCAAACTTTATTTACAAAAAGACACTTAAATTACTTGCTTCATGCCATGCGTCCATACAGAAACAGCTCAAGGATTATATGGAGATGTAATTCACAAAATTAAAAATGAATGCAACTAAAAGTTTCTAAAATTTAAGCGAGCTAAGATAAGACAACTTAACAAATAAAACCAAGTTTTAAGAAATTGGACTGAGCAAGAGAATTGTTTACAGCTCTGTACACGAAAACTAATACACGGACTCTCTTCTACGGTCAAGAAATGCTCACAAAGAAGCAAAATATATACAAAGATTTGTGCCACATTGACTTGGATCCTCCTCCAAGATCTGCTGTATTATACACAGAACCAGTTTGTATACATAAGGCCTGCATGAGGCCACTTAACTATGAAGACTTCTAATTTAGTCAACTAAAGATGGATAGCTCTGCAATAGCCAAACCGTCTCACGCAATTTCACTTGCGACTGCTTTTTATTCTCTCCAGTCTTTTTTTCAAGTCATCAATATTGGATGCTGTAGAAGAGGAAGTGGTACTTCCAATGCCAGCATGGGTCTGATTGGAGTCCAGATCAATGTGCTGGTATTGTTCCCGTGATTCGCGGAGCTGGGAAAGCTTACTGTGGAGCATATCTGTAGAGGATGCAACAGTGGGGACTGATGGCTTGGACAGTGTGGTGGCCAGTGATGCTCTGTCTTCTTGCTGTGAGGAAAGATATTGAAAACTCTTATTCAAAAAGTACTTCTCATATTTTTACCAAATCTTTACCAAGGTTGGCTCTAACAATACCACTATAACTAATCTTCTTGGGAGATTTACTTAAGTTTTAGAAATGTAAAATATATACGTGAAATGAAAGGATGCTAAAAAAATTATCCTATTCTTTATCTTCACTATGGCCAAGATCATAAACGGAATTGATATTTTCTTGCAATGTTTTTTAAAGCATGGAGTATGCAGTCTTGCTCATTATCTTCATCTATGCTGATACAATATTAAACTTATGACATACACTGAAAAAATATCACCACTAACCAAAAAGAGTGAAGTTAGATTTGTGCTATAACTCAAGATTTATTTATTTTTTTGCAATGGTGCTTAAAGGCTGGTAAACCCTTTTGAATTTTCAATAATTCTGTATAACTATAACCTAAAACATTTACCTGTTCTCCATACAAGTCCTGAAACTAGATGAAATGTTAAAAACTAAATAAACAAACTAAAACAATAAGTCAAAAACTTTCTACTCGTTCTACTTTAACTACCTTTGCATTGTCAAGGCCACATCGCTGCCTGAGGATTTTTAATCTTTCCAAATAGACAGATGGCCCCACCTCTTCCCCGTTTGAATTTCCGATAGCAGGAGAAACTACATTGGTGGGAGTGGGAATACATGATACCTCCATCTGTGGAGAAACTCCTACAAAATAAAAAAAAATCACAAGCCACAAATGAGTCAAATCGAACTTCAACAAAAGATTGAAATGGGATGTTACCTAGGTTTGTATAGGAGTTGACCAGGCTGATACTGAAGGTGGGATCAAATGCATAATCACTTGAGCCCCTTTGTGCCCACAAGAGATCTAAGTCCAGTCCACCTTGACTTCCACTGATTTTTATCTATCACCAATTTGCTTTGACTGCTAGTAGTTCAGATTCTTGTACAGAGCTTAAGGATGCAATAAACCACAGGTGTCAAACTCGCGGCATCACGTTGCCATCACGTGATGTTTCACAGCTTTGCCATTCGCAGAGCTGGGGTGGGCGTGGTTTGCCTATGACACCTCCAGCCCTTGGGCCACCAGTTTGATTAAACCTTTATATTTATTTGAACTGCCTGAACTCCCAATTTCCTGTGCTTGACAGTTTGCATGGCATAACTGCTTATGTTATCTTTGGGTCTTATTCTGGGAATGCAAAGCTGGATCTGGTAATGCCCAGTCAATAAAGCAGGTAGGACATTTTACTCCCTGTTTTGTGCTTTTCGTATTTACTGGACCATGTGGGATGAGTTTATAAAATGACTCTTTCTTACATAAGCACTGCCTTCTTTATAACTGAAATAAAACAGGCATGGGAAATCATCAGTCATGAGATCTCCAGTTAGATGGGGGTGAAGTAGAGAGACTTGCAAACTTGGAATTCCTTTGGGGGAGGAGGTGGCAGAAGCCATGCCTTTGCTAAAATTTCTGAAGCCTTTTATCTGCCTATTCCCAAGAGAATGTAGTCAGTCTGGTGAGATTCTTGTAAATTACACTAGCAACTACCAGCTCAGTGTCGCTTTGGTTCTTTGTGCCTGACATCTTCGTAGCACAGATCATTACTCCTCTGGCCTTCTGATATTTTTTTCTGTGTTATAGGAAGAAGAATCATGCTGATTTTACTTTAAATATCTTTATTTTAGGTCTTTACTTTAAATATCTTTCTGCTTAAGAGTTAATCAACAAGTCTACTGCTATACCATGTGTGCAACGTTCTAAATTTCTATTCATAGATATTACCTGCATAATGTGAGTATTATGGAATAGCCATTATAATTGCTTAATGTCACACCCGGCCTGTACTTTAAGAAAGTTGAGATATTACTTCTGAAATCCTCTACCTGTTCTGCTGACCCTGGAAAAATATGATAGCTTCATCAAAACAAGTGCTGTTGGCTGCAAGTTCATATCAAATTACCTGTAGAAGAAATCCGCCCTTTGCCTTCCCTTTCCATTTCAATCAGCCGGAGACCTCGTTCTACATAGCTCTGGAAGAACTGTGAGGAGTTTTTTAGGAAGGGCTCAATATCTGCATCAGAATATTTCTTTTTATATTCATACAGCTCTGCCAGGCCCTGTTTTAAAAACAAAATGCCTCAGCTATTAAAAGTTGTACATATAAAAATGGGCATTAGCTCTGAAGATTTAGCTGCTGTATGTTGTATACTAACGCCAGTTCAATATCATGGCTCCGAGCTGAACATCCTATTATCTGGTCATTAGGATTTCAAATGGGTCTTTCCTGGGCCTACTTTAAAATGTCAAAGGTTGATTTACGTATTCTCTGTTCAAGTTCAACAACTAGGCTCTAAACCTTTCCTAAAGGCTAGCCCAGATGTTTATGTGAGGTTGCAAAGCTGCCCCCCCACCAAAAAATAAAACCAACAAAAAAAACCTGTGCAACTGATAAGAGATATGCAAAATGCTCTATGCATAGACCACAGCCTCCATGAAAGAGTGGGATTAGGTGGTTTGCGACTGGATCTGCATACTGGTCCCAGTTATAGGCATTCCAGGTTGGAAAAGATTAGGAAAAAATGAAGTCAGTAGCAGTGAAGAGAAGGTAAGGAAAAGAAAGAGCTGGGATGATTGGGGGGAAAGGATGGGTATGAACTTATTGGGTTATGCTATATTAAGATACAAACACAGCAGTGGCATGAGGTACAACAACAAGAGAAAGGGTATGGTTTGGTCAAGTGTTCAGCAGGGATAAGGAAGAAAAGTGTTGAGACTATTGTTCGACAAGTCCCATCTGAAAATTTTGCCAAAACCCCAAACAGTCAAGTAGGCCGAATCTTGAGAGTTTCTTCCATGTGGAGAAAAAAAGAGAACTTTTTTTTTTTTGTTCTAGGCATAATTCTTACCTCTTTAGTGTTTTCTTTAGAACCAATTTTTTTAAATATCTCTGCCAAAATATCATTTACTTTGGCCTTTGGTGACTTTTCATCCTATAAAAGGAATTCGGACATTAATTAACAAACAAATGAAAAATCCAAATAACAACCAGAATGCACAAAAACAAATGAAAAAATCTAGAGGAATCAACATTTAAGGAACTGAAGCATCTTTAGAAACACAGATAGAACACTATGACAGGTAAGCCAGATTTACAAAACATAAATGAGGAGAAAAGCTAGGACAGTATCTTCTAATTTAAAGAAAACAAGCCACTATTTTAGAAAAGAAATCAGACAGCATTAATCTCACTTATTAACAATAGCAAACATAATGATTTCAGGCTCACTAGTAGCAGAATACTATGCTAGATAGAATTCACAAATATTATCAATACTGTACTGTACTACTATATAAGCAAGCTTCAAATGGTCATATGTAAATATAGTGCCCTGAAGGCACAAAGCTGAGGAAAAACGAAAGAGTGAGCCTTCAAATGTTGCCATTTATAGACAAGTTATAGGCAGCAACAAATTTGATATCTGTACTGCTTTGAGAACTATGAGTGTCAATCAGAACCAGAAATTAGCCTTATAATTGTGACTACCCTAAACACAACACATTTAAGCCATTTCTCTTGAACATCACTTCATGCAAGGCTTCTCTTTCCTTGGCAAGGACAATGCATGGATAGACAGCATTCTGTACTGTACAGATAGACCTTTACTTACAGCCAGAATTGAGTCCAAAATTGTTGCTAAGTGAAATATTTGTTCAGTGAATTTTGCCCTATTTTACGACTTTTCTTGTCACTGCAGTCAGTAACACAGTTGTTAAGTGGATCTGGCTTTGCTTATAAGGTTGCAAAAGGTGATCACATGACCCCGGGACATTGTAACCGTCATAAATATGAGTCGGTTGCCAAGCATCCAAATTTTGATCATGTGATTGTGGGGATGCTGCAATGGCTGTAAGTGTGAAAAATGACCATAAGTCATTTTTCAAGAAAGTTGTTATAAATGTTTATAAGTAAATGCATGCAAAAAGAGAAAATTGATTGTATATAGGAAATAGGTATGTTGACCAATTTGTATACAGCCTGAAACATGCTATTGTGCAAGAGATATTCTGTAGGTAACCAAACGTTTTGCAAAATGCCTCCCTGTGTTTCTTGACATCTTAATCCAGACACATCAGACAGCCTTTTTCAGCCTTCTATGTAATCCAGGCTAAAAGTTCAATACAGTAAAAATGATATAATTCACAAAGGTTCCAACTGTGCACTCAGAAAATTAACCAGCTTTAAGGTGACAGCCATTTTCTTTCTATTTTAAAATACAAAATACTTACTATACGGGAAGCGCCTTTTTCTGTGCCTTTATCAGATTTGCTTCCAGTTTGGTCTAGGGAGTGTTTCATCATTCTGCACAGATGAGCTTCCAATTCAGACTCATTCTTGTTGTCTATCATTGTTAGATGATCTAAAATCTAGAAAGGAACATTACAAATTTAGAGAGACTCTTTTAAATATTGCTGAGAACCATTCACAGATTGGAACAAATCCATTTGGTCTTACCTTGGGTCCCTTCAGTTTGCATAATGTATGAATCAGGGTCTTCAGAGTCCGTATTGGGTATTCACTTTTACACTGCTTTAATTTCTCTTTTGGAAACACCTTCATAAAGATGTGGATGTCCAACATGATTCGGTCCAGGTTGATACTGTTGATGGTTTCAGGGAGAAGTCTTACCATTCTCCATAAGCACTTGGAGGCAGGAGAGAAACCAAAACCAGTTACTTATCGAAAAGTATATCCTAATGCAGAATCATCAGTGACAAACTGGACATAAGTTTACTGATCATTAAGACACCAACTCTTAACATAGATTTTTAAACCTATCAGGTTTATCTATTAAAAACAGTATACCACACTAAGTTGTATTCATATTGTAATTTTTTCAATAGAAAATAATAAGGTCCATAATTATGACAAGCTGGCAATACGTATCATTATGCCATTTCAAATTTGAAAACAAATCTATATACTCACTTTCATTACAAGTTCTGAGAACTTGGGAGAACTAGCAGTTGCTAATAGACTGTCCTGGAGTAGAACAAGCAGGGCACTAGAAGAATTAAGTGAAGTAGCATTATTTATTTGATTTATATGGCCAGCCATCTCACTGTGGTGATTCTGGCTGGCTAACATTTAAAACTCTAATACAAATAATGTAAAATTACAATACATATAACAACAATAGAATAAAAGCCATCTGCCACAAAGCAAGCAACAATCTCCTAAGTTTCATCTAAATATAATCACTGAGTCATACTTATTTTCACAAAGAATCAGCAAGTACCATGCAGAGAGGTACAATACTTAGGATTTTAATTGGGAGATTGTTCAAAATACAACAGAATATGAACACAACACCTATCCGTAACTCATGAAAGCATCTATGACATTTTCTAAGACAGTATGGCTAATGCAGAAAGGCCTCCACTGCAACCACACAATTAGAAAAACAGATATGGCTGCTTTAATTAGCTACAGGCAGTGTTTATGCTCTAAACCACTGATGTCAAACTCGCTGTGTCACGTTGCAGTCACGTGATGTTTCACGACATTTCCCCCCTTCATGAAGCTGGGGTGGGCGTGCCGTGCACATGACGCATCCAGCCTGTGGGCAGCCAGTTTCACACCCCTGCTCTAAACTATCTCTTTTGAACTGAATTTGAAGATTGCTCAACTGAATCCAACTATAATGAGGAACGAAAGTATTTCATCAAGCACATGCTGGAATATTAGTGCTATGGCAAATGATTATACTATTTTAAAAAAATACTTTTTCATCTTATCATCAAGTTATTTACCTCAATATGTTAGTTTGGTCAGATTTCTCTAGAACTTTTACCACCAAGAGGTTGACAGATCTGATAACCTGCTGGCCTTCTTCTAGATCTTCAACTCTTGAATCCAGCATTAAGGTAATGAGACCATGCATCAAATCCTTCAACACTCCTGCAGAAGCCTCCCTTGCCAAGCTTTCAATCTGGAATAACTGTCAAATGAATTTAAATGTTAGATATAATTCTCTCTTCTGATGCCTCAATAACCCCTTCAGTGCCCCAATATTAGATTGGCCACTATGGGAAAACAATGTTGCATTTTGCTTGCCTTCTTAATAAGCCTTGTTTTCATAAATATATTTAGAAGTGTTGACGAGCAGAAAGAACCTGTGGTGCAGGACTGAAGAGAAGGAGATGCTTTACATGCCAGCCTAAAGAAATTCAGTGGCAAGCCACAACACAATAATAAAACACAAGCCACCCCTCTTAAAGGCATGGTTTGTACCTTAAAGCATGTTGATTTCAGATGATTGACATTGCAGCTGAAAACTGCAGCAGATTAGAACAGGGCTATAAGAACTGCATTTAGATATTTGGGAAGCTGCATTTACTCATCCCTGAAAATAGCACTTCAAGAATTAAAAAATTAAAATATTAGTATGTGTAAAATATCTAGGTCATTTAACCCAAGCATATCAAACAAGATAAAATACTACATCGTGGCCACCCCTTTGTTAAATAAAAACCATTTATCTTCTTTTCCAAACAGTAGACAATGTATTTTTAAATTTTAATTGGGCTTCTGGGAATTAAGTTTGTGACTTTCTTTTGGCAACTCCTGAAATTCAGGAAGATGAATAAAAAACATGAAACTTGGCCTACTATGTACCAAGCAACCAGATTCTGCATTAAGGTTACTTATGTGTAGTATGCTGTACTTTTTACATAAATGTATACCTGTTCCAGAGTAAAGTAATAAATTTTACACAAAAGAAATAGCCGAATTTTGACTGTTTTTTCTCATTTTACAGTGGCAAAAGAAATAAAGAACTCTTACTGAAATCATGTTTCCAATGATGCAACTGTACAACTTGACGATTTCATCCTTGTCCAGTTTCTCATCAGCCATATGAGTATTATAAATGAGTCGGAGCTGCATGAATGTAGCTACTAAGAACTGGTCAATGTGGCCAGACATTGCTTCGGCTTTATCCTCTTGTCTTAGAACCTCATCAATCTATATACAGACATAATAATTATGTTTCTTCACGTAGCAGAGTATTCAAGACGTTGGCATGCATTAGCTGCAAAAACTATCACCAATCTCTCCTTTTAACTATTATTTTTCCCATTCTACTATTCTAATTCAATTCTCTAGGAATCCATCACTTTGTTCACAATCTTAGAATATTAGACCAAACATCAGTTTTGCAGTGCCAGCAAAAGTTAGTTATTCCTCCATTATCTATTTTAGCAAATTCTGCAGCCTTCACACTTCAAAGAACTTGTCTCAAATATGCACATTACTACAAAAATTTAGAATTCATTTTTTCCTGCTATTGCAGTAATTGTTAGCCCTAGGGGAATGCAAGATGAAAATGTGAATTCACCCCGAGTATTCCTTCCCTTTCCATAAAGTTTTTTCCATAAACTTTCCCATGCTGTTTGGAACAGCTGAGAAATAGTATCCCTTTTGGAGACAGCAAAGTAAAAATGATTGTATGTATGTATGTATGTATGTATGTATGTATGTATGTATGCATGCATGCATATGTGCCTTTATCTTTTTTATAAATAATGCAAGGCAGTGAACATAGCTCATACTTCTTCTACCTTCTATTTTTCCCGCAACAATCTTATGAGGTGGGTTTGGCTGAGAGAAACTGACCCAAAGTCACCCAGTCAAATTTCATGCCTAAAGTGGGACTGTATCCCACAGCCTCCTGGTTTCTAGCCTGGTCCCCTAACTACTAGGCCAAATTGGCTCTCAAAATTAGAATAAGTTTTCTTAATAGGAGAAATAAAATTTTATCCATGAAAAGTTATTTAAGTTAAGGAGTCTTTACTGATGTGGCAGCATAGAAATATGCTTAACAAACAAACTGAATGCACCACAAAAGCCTCCTCATTTGTTTCCTCTGGCTTGCACTATTCAGTCAGAAGCCAGGTCCATTTCAGCCCATTCCTCCTCCCCCCCCCAAATGCTTCCTGGAACAAAAGGGGCCTCAGCTGGCAAATGAGGACTTTGAAGCAAAGTTAAGTAGACTGAAATCCAAGTAGTGGAGGAACAGGAATTTGATTTAAAGCCCAGTAAGGTTAAATAAATGTTGTCTTATTAGATAATACAAAGAGTTAAGGTATCCTTGCATGCCTCTTGGCATCAAAATGAAAGTCAGTGAATTATCTAGATAGAAGGTGACAACGTTCTATATTCTTGCACTTGAACATAAGATCTTTTTTCTTTACAAGATGTGGTGCCTGCAACCAGTTTGGCTGGCTTCAAAAAGGTTTGGATCGATTCGTGGAAGTCATGGGGTTTAATAGTTATTAGTCTTGTTGGCAACTGTATAGCTGGGAAATGGGCTTCCTTGTGAAGTTGCTGACCACTGTGAGAATAGAATGCTGGACTAGGTAGGCCAGAGGTCTACTCCATGAAGGCACCACTTATGTTCCTTTTGAGAACTGCGAGTCAGATGGCCCCTGTGCACTTAGTTATGTCATCAAGACATATTTCAGGGTGGTGCAAGTGTCACCTGACGCTCAGCTCCACCAAATGTGCAACTCATCACTCTCGCAAATAATTTATTGATCTGTTAAACAGTAGCTGATGATCGTTAGGAGACTATGTTGCTGCCATCTACAAGGAACACCACTTACCTGTGCAAGAGCTTGGATGCTAGTATTGATATCCCCACTGGCGACCTGGGAGATAACGAAGTTGATCGTAGAAGCAGTATTGCTGTGCATCTCATCGAAGTGTGGGGAGACAGCACGGACCCTGGGTGGAGGAAAGATTTGGCAATTACTGGAAGATAAACCTTTCCACACTACTTCCAAAATAACACAAATTTGCAAATTTTGCAGAGTCTTACCTAACAGTAATTCTCCTTGTCTCATCTCATCTCTATTTTGTTCCTCTCCTTTTTCCTTCTACCTTTTCCTATCTCTATTCTATGGGTATTCTATGGGTAGGGTATTTTTTGTGTGTGTTTTGCATTGCTGCTAGAAGAAAGGAGAGGAACATGTATGTCTCTGTATGAGACAGCGGCTGGTATATGCAGTTAAGAGAATCAATGTATTTTATAAATGGAATGCTCTATTAAATTTAACTATAGTTACATCAATTAGTATTGCCTTCTTTTTGCTCAGATCTTTTCTTTTATGGCCTTGGATAGAACCTTCATATATGAGAAAGAAGAACATTATACCTATAATATGCACATACTGGGTCAAAACAAACAAAATTCCCCACACTTACTTAGGTTCAGGAATCAAGACTGGCTCAAAGATGTCATCCAGTTTGTGCTGAACAAGTGCTGGCATTTCACATCGCACTGTGCCATTATCATTTTCTATTTCATCAAGATCCAGCTGAAATTCCCGAGGGACTGTATGCATTGCCTCTGAATGGCCACTCAAGTTACGTGCTTGGCTATAAAAATCAAGCAACACATTTTCCTTATTATTTCAGGAAGCATGCTGTCCTCCCAACAGAAGTGACATTCTGAAATCATCATAAGCTACAGATGGAAAACATTCTTTTCTATATTATCTGGGACTTCGATGTAGAGAGTCCAACTTTACGTCAAAGAAATCTCCCTGGTTTCCCAACATTCTCTACAGTTCATAAAGAAATTGGGAAGGAGCCCCCATTACTGCTCAGTTTTTGGAGCGCTTAAGGAAGCGAAACAACGAAAAATGGCTTGCTATTCCAACGTAACAAAATTTGTTGTCCCCTAATGATTATGTTTAATTACAGGAACAAAACAACAAACAAACCTGCAGGTAGTCCTTGACTTACAACCATAACTGATACCAGAATCTCCTTTGTTAAGGAAGGCAGTTTCTAAGTGTGCCGTGCCCAATTTTACAACCTGTTTTGCCACAGCTGTTAGGGCAAATCATGGGCAGTTGTGAAATGAATAGTGTGGTTGTTAAGCAAAGTCAGCTACCCCCTCTTGATTTAGCTCGTCAGAAGCAGGTTGAGAAGGCTGCAAATGGTGATCACATGACCCAGGGATGCTGCAACGGTTGTAAATAAATGCTGGTTCCAAGTGCCCAAATTTTGATCACATGACTATGGAGATTTGGTTGTAAGTGCAAGAACTGGCTGTAAGTCATCTTTTTCGATACTGTTATACCTTTGAACAGACACTAAACAAATGGTTGTAGGTTGAGGATTTCCTGCAGTAGTTTTTATAGCTTTTGCATTAACCAAGCAAAGCCAGGGGTGATCAGCCATGACACTAACTATTGGAAATCTGTACTCTCTTTAAAAACTTGTTAAGATTTCCCTTTCCCTTTTATATCTTACAGTAAAATATATGCACCACCACAAATGTTAAAGATAGAACAAGAAAGTATGGTTTCATCCAAATGAATCTAGTTTTTATTCATATATGGAGAAGGCACTATGTTAGGTTGCCTTTCTTAGTGACCACTGTTTCTGAATCCAGAATATTCCCAGCTGAGTTTTATACTCTTAGTTACAACTTGCCATTTGTCTTATTTTATTAGGGATTTCCTACTAGAGGATTCTAGAACAACGGCATAAGGTATACCAAGAGGCATTCTAGAAGGGGTCCAAGAATCACATATTAAACAGAGATGGGGATCTTAATTTCACATGGGATGGTATCCAATGCCACCTGAAGGATGCCTGCTTGTGTAGAAGTACCTCCCTTAACTTTTTTACCCAAAAGATGGGACTCGACACTATTTCTCATATCCAACATCAGTTTTTCCTAGAACCATAAGTTTTAAGAAGCTTTATTATAATATGTGGAACTTCTTCTAAAGGGTATTTAATAACTAATGATTGGGGGGAAAGACAGAAATCGTACGAGCTCTGCTACCAAGGATTTAGTGGTAAGTACTTACATCCTATAAGTGCGATACATAATTCTGTCCATGGAGAAGCAGTGAAAAAAGGCACAATACCATTTAGAAAGCATTCAAGACATGACAAAACAGATGAAGAAAGGTTCAAACATTTTGCTTTGCAATTTTTTTTTTTGCAATCTGTCTCATGCATGCAGCAATGATAAAAACAAAAGACAAACACAAGGCAACAACAAGCTATGTTTTAGCACACACTGTGAAAATGTTGCACACTGATAGCAATTTCTCCACATAACATACTTGAGTTTGGAAGACATGTCTTCAGCTGCTCCCTTCCGCAGCATGTTTGCGCTGGCATTGGCATTTTGCACACGCTGGGGTTTTTCATCAACCTGCCTTGATGAAGCAGCATTTGGTCTCTTAGCCGATCGTTTTATTCGTTCCTCCAGCATACTCATGTCCTTCTCAGAAAGCTGTACAAGAAGAAAAACTAATGTCATGAAAGATTTGCCTCTAAGAATGCTCCAAAGCTTCATAATTTCTGAAAAAATAACTAACATGCAATTTACCTCCCAATACTGGTACTTAGCAATGATTCTTTTTTCCCCTTTATAAGTAAAGTATAAATGTTTCCCAAACACCTCTAAACATGAAAATAAGCAAAGGCAGAGTCTCTCATTTATTATTCATCGATTTCTCTCCCCAATAGGTGTAAAAGGTATAAACTCTCTCATATGAAAAATGAGATTGGCGTTTGAAAGAAACTATGAGGCACTACAAATATAATTCTCACAAATGTTAACCCATTTTGTTGAGACAAGCTGCCATGTAGGTAAATTCTGGATGCTTCTATTATTTTCCTACTCCCAATCTAGGAAAGTGACTTGAGAAATAGTAACACCCAAAGCAGCAATTGACTTAACTTACAATTTCCCTAATAGCTAACATCTTGCAAGAGGAATATGAGATTTCATGACCAAGTGCAGAGATGTCCTCGAAATTGAATAACATTAATTTGTCATATTATATTTTCAAAATGAGAATATGAAAGTAGCTGTAGGATGTATCAATACATTTTAAAAAAAACATAAGATAAAATCATCATTAAAATACAGGTGTTCTCCAATTTTGCAGGGCCTCTACCTCGTAATGTTTTGTGTAAGACTGACTTTTCTTACCATTTTGATGCTAGAAATTCAGAAATCTGCTCTAAATAATACAATGCAAGTAAAATTAAATTGAAATTTTGACAAAAGCAGTGGTTCTGAAATGTGAGAAAAATAATTCCATGTAAGGTACTATTTTGGAAGTAGGTGGTACTTGATCTCACCTGAGTTCTTTACTTTGAAATATCTTGATAGGCTACCTGAATGTAGATGGTGAAACTCTCAGAAAGATTTTTTTCCATGTTACTGTTATTGCAGATTTAACAATAAATGCTTATTTATTTACCATCTTACAATTCATTGACACCTGAATGATGCATTAGTCAACAACTAAATAGTGTAAAGTACAATTTATTTGTTCTTGAAAATCAATATTCAGTCAGCTATACGATGCAGGTGTGTTGTGACTTTGTACCACTTAACCTGAATCATCCAATGCACTGTAAGGATTTAATTTTTCCCCCTTTATTCCTGTTTACTTACATTTCCAATTAGCTTGAACACCTGGTCCCCATGCACGTTATAAACAGTAACAATGGTATTAAGTGCAGCATTTCTGACTGTGTTGTCCCTGTCACCAATGTGAATTGCAATTTCCTTTAAGGCTTTGCCTGGAGTTGGCTGACACACATTCATGCCATATGATTCAATTAGGCATCCCAGCTCTTCCAAGCACTCTAGGGAATAACAAAAGAAGATATAAACAAAACCTAAATGCAACCACACTTCTTAGTAAAGTGAACTGTTATTCTAGGCAAGGTAAAAATTCTTCTTCATGATTAAGTCTCTATGATGAAAATGGGGACCCACTCTAAAACAATGTATGAAATAGCGACATTTGCCCCTTAACCATTCACATTTATCGTCAGTAGCCTGAACGGGCATTAAAAATAATTTTTATAATATGAACATAATTATTACTATTTTTAAAAATCATTTCCTTCCTATCTCATTGTTTCCTATGCCACCCCCACTTTAAGGAATTGCGACATCTTTGTGGGGGTATGGCAACTAGGCCATTAAGTAAAAGGCTCATATTGCTCCCTTTGGAAATAATTATGTAGAGTGATTGCATATATAAATGTATATCCCCAATCCCTTACTAGGCTGAAAACAATTACCTACCCCTGCATACCCCAATGCATCTGCTGTATTTCATGCATCCAATGCAGAAATGTGACAAATCAGTATTTTAAGTGTGACTTGCCCATTCCATTATTTTCATGACTGTAATAAGATATTGTGATCTATACCAGAGGTCGCCAACCTTTTGGACCTCAGGGACCACTAACTGGTTCTGTGGGCGTGGCCTAATTTGTGGGTGTGGCTTGGTCATGTGACTGGCTGGGCATGGCTTGTATGTAAATATTATAAATATTTATATAAATATTGAATTTTTTATATAAAAAAGAGCAACTTTTACCCAAAATCAGGCAAAGCAGGCAGGCAGATTGAGTTGCTCACAGAATTATTCAGTGATCTATCTATCTGCCATCGGCTAGCTCAGTATGTCACATAAAATTTGCTTGCTGTGAGTGTGCACTGAATAATAGAACCTTCAGTCCTAAGGGAGTTTTGGCTGTGCTTAAAAGCAGAGTTGAAGATCTAAAGACTAGCTAGAAAGCAAGAAATCCAACCATTTCCTGCTCCCTAGGTAATCTAAATCTCCCGACACAGCAGAACAGCTGACAGTCGGAAAAAGGAAAAATAGCAATTTAGCAGACAAGTTTGCCAGGTAAGGAGTGAGTGGGCAGGAAGGGTTCCTGTGGGCCACGTGGGTGGTGCAACCTTGTGTTTCTGCACAGCCTGGATTAATTGCTTTGGGGGAGTGCTCTGGGGATGAGATTTCTCTGCGTCCCACCAAAATTTTCTTGTGCCCCACCAGTGGGCCGCAGCCCACCAGTTGGCAACCGCTGATCTATACATGTCCCACCTGCCCGCTGTTTTGAGTTTTTTGATTTTGTCCCATCCATGATAAATGTGAACATTTTGCTGGCTGGATAGACAAGGCACATCCTGTTCAGAATGGCACGTACATCCCTTCGAATAACATCTTTGGGTTCCCCAACCTAAAATCAGAGAAGATATTTGGATATTTAGAAAAACTGGAAGCATAATCAATATTCTTAATATTCACATCCAAAACTTTCAGGGAATCACAGGCATGCCTAAATTTTCAGATATTTTCACTCTGACATTTTAGGTAGTGACAAATACACTGGAGAAAACATGAGAGCATTTAACCTTGAGCATAATAACATATTAGAAGATGCTATCCTGATTATTGTTCTCAGTTGCTCTGAGAGTTTTGTAAATTAGAATCTTTGCAAGTATAGCAGCAGAAACAGATATACAAAATCTCATGGGTCATTATAGTGAATAAGAGATACTTGTTCTCTAATGAATTGAAAAAATTCTGTAAGGTATTTGCTCAACAATTCTCTGGTGAATTTTTACAGTGATATTAAAAACATTGCTCTCTCACACACACTGTAACAAGTTTATCATGTATTGCAATTAATTTAGTTGTTAAAGATCAGAATTTCTAATTGATGTATTTGGTATTTTTTTTTTGCTAATAGACATCATTCTACTACCATTAAGAATGCAAGTATTTTATTCAAAACTGCTCTTATATTTTTATTAACATTACAGGTAACACCTAAACGTGCTTTTTCAGGAGGCAAAAAAGCACCTTTGAGACAACCATGACCTAGATGACTGAAAATCTCTAGACTACAGGTAACAACAACTAGCTCATCTTGGCTGATCTCATCAAATTTAACTTTTTATTGATTTTATTGTAATGTTTCTGATTTTTGTAAGCTGCACAGTCATTCAGAATGGCAAGTTTAATAAATTATCAACATCATCAAAACTAATCCCAGATATGATGGCTGGAATACAGTTAATGGAATTCCCTAGGTTACTGACCATATTCACATTTTTTTAAAATCATAGAAAATATGAAAATTTGCTACCTCTTGCATCCTACTCTCCCGAATTTGCCTAATATAATGTATTGACTGAAGTTTTAATGATATTGAGTATTCTTCTACACTAACTTAGTTCAAGCATTCTACAATTGAAGCATATTGTCACCTATGCTTATTCAGGAATGGGAAGGATCCTGAGGAGAAAGCCAAACTAAGATCTGATGATTTGCTCCAGTCATCATTATTCTCAATATTGTCACAGAGGCAGCTCTAATTTCACAATTTGCTTTTTGTTATATTTTGTGAGCAACAATATCTAGGTTCTTTTTTTTCATTCTATCCATTCTAAGAGGTCAAGACACACCAAGTATGCAGCTTTTTAAATTCTGGATACCTTCAAGGTAAGATAGGGAATGAAAGAAGTGGCTTCATTTTCCGTCAGGTGGTATTCTTCTTGATTCAACATGATAAACAGCAGCTTAAGATACTCCAGAGTTTTCATTAGAACACTTGTATTGGTGTCAAAGAACCTCAGAGTGATCCACTTCAAAATCAGATCTAAACAGCTGATAACTCCATCTTTTTCACTCTCCAAGTGCTTGAAAGGAAAAAAAAAATCAAGGTGAAGTTTTGCACACAAAAAAAAGTGTTTTCTTTTACAATAAAATAAACCAAGAAATTGTATTTCAATTAAATTATGCCATTGCTTTTCTAGTAGCAAAGGGATCAAAGATAATTGTTTTGTACATGCATAATTACTACTTGCATCAGCTACTCTGCTATTTCATTTTGTTTCAAATGCTCATATTCAGTGCCTTGATAGAGGCCAATACTAATTACACTGTTCTTATGAGAATATAGGCTATAAATTGAATAGGATATTTCCAAAAGTTGCATGCTCTAGGAAAAGTTATACCAGTGCTCTTATTGTTTTATCAACTGTCAGAAGTCAATGCTCCTCACCTCAACCATTACACTAAGTGCTCTGTTGTGGCGTTGAAAATCTGTATGAAACATTTCATCTTGTAACCACTTGGCAACACAGCTAGACATCTGAGTCTTCAATTGCTCAATGTATTCATCACGAGGAGTAGTAAAATTCCATTTCAAAACCTGAGGGAAGATGGGAACACGGTCTTCTTAAAAATTAAACCTGTAACTTAACCTACTTGTAACTTAAATTTTACTTAAAGTAATTAGCCTGTAAATTGTAAGTGGCATGTACATACATCACATGTACGTGTGTAGGTTTTTTTCCTTATTTACTAAGACTACATTATTGAGCCACAGGTAATTTTTAAGTAACATTGATCCTCTTAACATAACAAAAGAAATTCATATTTACAAAAGAAACATTTTTGCTTATATGGATTATTACTTGACTTGTAACTTTCACTTTTCTCCTTTCACTAAGTCTAGTTAGTTAAACCTCAAGCAAGTACTTTCTACCCATCCCACTTTTGACAGTCATGAAGAAGATACCAGAAACAATTGATTATTTTAAACAAAGGATAATTTATTCTTGTATCTGAATAGGAACAAGTCTAAAAAAATTTTTTAAGGGTTAATGCTTCCACCTTGGCCTCTAGTTAACTTGTGTCAACTAGATCTCTTATTGGAAATGTGTTAGGTTATCTCACAAACAACACTTTAGTGAGCTTTCATGGCTGAAGTGAACCTAATCTTGAGTCTTTGTATTTTAATATATCAGAACTGTATTATAACATAGATGCTTAGGTGCATACACATACAGTCAGTGATTTGAGGCTTGTTTCTGGCTATTCATTCTGTGCAGTATTCCTCGAACTTAGTGATTCTAAGTTATGTTGATCTCAACTCCCACAATTCCCCATGCCGGCTGGTGAAATTTTAGCAATCTTCCCATTAAAAAAATAGAATAAAATATTTTTGTTATTGTAGAAACATTCCCTAATACTGAATGAGGAGACACCTCCCCACTGAACTTTTTCAAAAGAATGCACTTGTTTTAAGCTCAGTAACTCAAAACAAACTTGGCAGATTTTGTAGACTAGGCTTAACAAAAAAGAATAACAGAACAACTTCTAATTTTGTATGCTTGTCCACTGAACTGTTAATAACATTGATAAGTACAAAAGAGCAGAATATGCATCTGTACAATTAAGTGAATAAATAACTTTAAGTGATCTCCACATGTCTTTCTATCTGGGGATTTCCAGTGTTAAAGTAAATGTAGTTTATAATAGAAATTCATGTCTAATACAGCCCAGAAATCAGACGCTGAGCATTTCTCTCACCTTTAATCCTTTCTCATCTTTCATTCTTTGCTCTTTTCCATTTGGGACTAAAATAAAAACTGGGCCAGACCTGTCATCATCATCTTTCAAGTTGGATTTGCTTGGAACCTTTTTCCCCTGTATACCCTAAGACACAAAACAATAGTAAGTTCATTTCCCTGTAACCAAGCTCCTATAATCTCGTTTTAAACCACCTTCCATTCTGCACCTCTAGACTAATCTCACTGAAGTCAATAGGAATGCCTTTATTTAGAACGAATCTATCCCATCAGCATGCAAGGCAAGTATTTCCCCTACACAGAAGTGTGTGTTAGAATGTGCACTGAAGACCTCAAGTACCTATTTAGCAGAGTAAAGACAAAGGCCATAACAATGTTTAGTGCAGCAAGTATATAAAGGTCAGTGTACCAGCCACTCTATGTGGTACCCGCTTATTACCTGTTTGATATCTTTGTTCTTTGTCAGATTACTATTGCCTTTGGTGAGGCCTGAATTTGCATCAGAATGCTGAAACAAGTCACAGAATACTCTGTAGTTAATCGTATTGACCACATAAACACTTTTAAAACTTTTTTTTACTTCTGCATAAATATGAGTATAGAGCATAAGCACTCTGTTCCTATTTACTGACCATATATGAAATATTACAGATCTAAGATCACTGGCATGTAAATCATACTGAGGAAGGAATGAGTTAGAGAGACCAGTCAGGCCACCAAATTTCCTCTTAGTGAAGACCAAGAGGCTCAGACTCCAATTGCCATGAGTGTTTCACAAGGATTATTTCATTAACCCGAGGTCTGCAACATGAAGCTTTTTCATACACTGACACAAAAATCTCTAGTGAGTCAAAAATGAAAAAAAATTGAGTAGTGTTACAATATACCATGGAATAAAAATTTCTTAAATAAAGCTTTACTATGAAATAGAATGAGCTGCAAAATAGAGTTGTGATGTGATCATTTCATTCTGTCCCATAGCTGAAAGTACTTTTCATAACCAGGGCTCTATCTGATTTTATTTCTGGATTGATATGCAATACTGCATCTAGCCTGATATCATCCAGGAAAGCTATCCCACCAAAGATTGCTGTCCAAATCCTGCTGTTCATTTTCTATCAATAGACGATAGAAATATGAGGGAGAGGGGCAGTTCAAAAATGTGCTAGGTAGGCAGGCAGGCAGATGGATAAGACAGCTAGACAGATAGATTAGACAGACAGACAATTTCTTTTTGTTTTCTTTCCTTGCCTAGAAGGTCCTTGGCAAATCCTTCTTTGCCAAGTAAAGAGAGGTTGCTTGTCTGTTTGTGGTCCTTGCCACTCATTGCCTGACAGAGAGGACTAAGTCCTACTTCTCTTCCTCAAGCAGCCATCCAGCCTGTCTTCCATAGCAAAGTCTCATTTCATCACTGGCCCTGTCTAGATAGATAGGCATTGCCTCAGAAGCAATGCCTGCCAGAATATGAATGAGGGCAGGAATTCTTGGGACAAGTACTACCCCAAAGTTAGAAATCTCCTAGCAATGACTGCAAAGCCAAGTAAACCAGGACCCACTGTTGTCATTTACCTTGGTTTTAGGGGCGCTTCCTCCTGTTTTGGCTTTTTTGGCATCAGGTTTAGTCTCCATTGTGCTAGATGAATAATCTTCATTGGAACCTAAGGAATAATTTGTTAGTATGCACTATATAGGCTTCGGATCAAAACTACCAGCCCACCCACCCCCCTTCTGCCGGTTTAACAAAACATACTATAATTCTCAACATATACTTTAAACTGAGGGTCCCCAATCTCTGGGCCACATCCCACTAGGGGGCCACGAGGGGATTGCAACCAAGCTATGGAAACGGCCGATAACTGCACATGCATCCTCATTTGCACTAACAGTGGGCGAGCTGTGCATTCCAATTGCATGAGTGGCAGGTACGCACACACAATGCTCATGCAAATGGAACTGCGTGCATACTTGCTGGCCATTCGCATGGAACCATCCCCTAAATAAAAGTTTATTTAGTGACTGAAATTACAATGGAATTGAAAAAAATGACTTGTGACTGTTTTTTACACTTATGACTGCTGTAGCATCCCCATGGTCATGTGATCAAAATTCAGATGCTTGGCAACTGACTTATATTTATGATGACTGCAGTGTTTTAATCTTTCTTAAAACTGGAGTTCTCTCAAACAGGACAACTGTAGAAAGATTACCTGATGCAGCTTGAGATTTGGCTGGAGCTGCTCCCACTGCTCTAGATGTCTTACTTGGTGGAGCAGGTTTGGCAGGCATATTAGCTTTAGCTTTTTCAAGCATGGCCAGTACTTGATCTTTCGAAGTTGGCTACAGAAAAAAAAAGAGTGCTTAAGTATCTACATTTAAGCCACTTGATCAAATGACTACAAGCCAAACTCTCTTTTCCTTTACAGATCTTTAAATAGAAATTAATTTTTGTAAACGGTTCCCAGCTTGTCAGTGCACAGTACAAAGGAATGGTGGCAACCTACAGCAGAAATGGGCAACCCATGGACTATGGGTTGTTTCCCACCACCCTGATACCACACTGCAGTGAATTATGTAGCAAAATGACTATTTTTGATACCATTTTTACCTCTCCAACCTTATGAAATATATTAGAACTATTTTTAAAAATGGTTCAAAGTCATGTTACCAAAGTTCTGCCATATCATAACAGATGGCCTAAAGACTTCCAGAGTTGCAGCCCAATTGCTCAAAAACTCCCACCCCAAATTACCCAAGTTTATATAGATAAGAACCCATATGCGGATATTTTAGATTTCCTAGATTAGATTTCTAAATTCCAATAATTAAAACTATTTTGGAAGTCTTTTACTTCCCAGAAACTAATTCATGCTATTACTTGCATGTCTATATACCATCTGTCCTTGCCACTATTTATACTCCCATTAGCTGTTTTGACTCTGCTCCCTCCAAATTTTTTGTATTTATTTTTTTTAATTTAAGATACTCTCTTTGGCCACCCAATTCAATTTCAATGACTCTGAGTGGCTTACAAAAATTAAGATTCCATATAATGAACCTAGTGACAACGATCAGTCAATTTATTAGTGTTTTTGTACCTTCAATTTGCCAGTGGCTTTGGCCATCTTCTCAAAACCCAGATGCATCATAAAAAATGGAAGAGCATCCTGTGCCTTTTTACGGACATCTCCATTTCGATCCTCCAGGCAGGAGTACAGGTGAGGTACACATAAAACTAAGTCTGATGGGACAGTTCGGAGAGTGGGCAACTTTTCAGCAAGCCAACCTAAAAGCTAAAGTTAGAAAAGATTATTAGAAAGGAACACACTGTATTCTAAGTAAATATTATACAAATTTACATATGAATAATTAAAACTGGTGGCATTTTGGGTCAACAGTCAATGAAACTGGTATATTAAAAAGTAGATATCCACTAATCTACTAATAATTGATTTGGAAAATAAAACGAGTGAAAGGGAGCAACAGCTGACTAACAAGACACCAAAAAGAGCAGGCCACTAGGGAGAACAAATAGAAGCAATATGTTGTTTCCCTTCTCTCTTCTTTTTTGGTAGAATAAAACACTTTTTAGGAGAGGAATTTTATAAAAGTTTTGAAACAGACAACGAGGAGAAACCTGTAGATAAAGATTTGATACATTCCTGGCCAGTTAATGCTATCTCTCTAAGCAAATGGATGCAGAAACTGATTCAATATACTTCTCCCGACAACAAAACACCTTATTATAATCACCTTGTATGTCTTGGATTCTCTTTTAGAATGTTATTAACATACTGTGAGGTTTTTCACTAATCTATTCAAAACCACCTGTCACAAGGGGTGCAATTAGCCACAAAACACTCACTTACCAATGTCTTCATTTTTCTTCCTGCTCTTCTCAGAACTATTTCTACTCAGAGGAGAACTGCTACATTTTGGATTGCGAACAGATGAGTTGAAGCATAGTATATTTGTGCACGGACTGCTTTGCACATCTCTACTGAATTGACACTTCTTCCAAGATAATAGTACAAAAGGAAACTGACTGCATTGACTAAAATCCTCACCTCTTGCCTTAGAAAAGGATTCTCTTTCTTGAGTTCTTCTGACAAATCCTCCCCTTCTAACCACTCTTTCATGCCCGTCTGTTCGGTCCAGGCATTTACTGTTGCTAATGATGCTGCCCGTACATTGCTCTGGAAAGGAGAAGGAAAATAAGATATAATATATACATGCACAAATACACAAACTTATGTATATTCCAGAAAATTGAAAGTCAACTAGATAAGGTTCTTGCATCTGTCCATCTATCATTTATATTCATTATTGTGAAACAATCAAGTGTTTAACACTTTTAAAGAGAGGATAATCTTCCACTGAATCTCTGAGGTGCTAATTTAATGCAACACAAGAAATGCATGTGTTAAAGTTCAAGAAGGTGCATACTCTCAGGAAACAGATCTTTCGAACCACTTACCCCGGAAATAGGATGGACAGTAATTTAGATGCAAATCCAAAGGCTTATTCATATTTATTCTATCTGCATTTTGCTATTTTTAATTGGAAAGTCATTTACATTCCTTAAATTTTCTACTAAGACCCCAATAAGATGTAACAATGACCACACCTTATTACCAATTTTTGAAGCTAGGATATTAACACCACATAACGAAAACTTGCCTCTAGAAATGGTAAAAGCTCCAACACTGGAAGTTTTTAAGAAGAGATTGGATAATCATTTGTCTGAAATAGTATAGGGTTTCCTGCCTAAGCAGGGGGTTGGACTAGAACAGGGGTCTCCAACTTGGCCACTTTAAGACTTGCGGACTTCGCCCTTCCGGTTTGCGAGGCTTCGGCAGCGGCAGGGATTTGCGATCCAGCGCGATCCCTGCCGAGCTCACTGCCAAGGTTCCCCCGATCCGTTTGGATCTGGGGGATATAGCTGCCTTGCAGGGGCAGCTGAAGACAGGGGGCATCTGGAAAGGGGGCAAGGGGTGTCGCAGACCCCCTCCCCAGCCAGCAAAACCCCCTTTTCCCGAGGCGGAGGAGCGGCGGTCAGCAATGGCTGCCATGAAGAAACCTGCAAACGGATAAGATTGTGCAGGAGGAAGAAAATCGGAGAAATTGTGAGAGTTGTTTCTGGACCGGGATAAAGTTGCCAAGGGATAAGAAAGTTTCCTGGGGCTTGAAAATTGCTACGGAGAAGTTGCTACATTGTTTCCAGAGAGAGTTACAAGCAGCGCACAGAATTCTAAAAGGGAAAGTTTTGTTTTTCTTCACTCTCCTTCCTAACGTGACAGCGGATGGAATAACAAGAGAAATCTGAAAATCTAGGTAATTAAATACTGAAGAGATAAGGATTTCTGAATGATTTTTTTTTAAAAAATACTTTAAAAATTTTTTTTTGCTGTGAGTGGGAAGGGAGAGGGAAAAATTGGATTAGAATTTGAAAATAAGGAGAAGACTGCCTGGATTTTTAAAGAGCTATAAATACTAACAAGGCTTTTGAAAGATATATATATTAAATATATTAAACTTTGTGATCAAACTCCAATCCCAGAAAGAGAAAGTGAAGGAGAAAGTGCTTAAAAGAATTAACCTACTTGGATTGCTTGGTGATTTTACTACTTTTGAGAATTATCTCTGATTAAAAGCACTTGGGTGGTTGCTTGGGAAAACTTTCTCTCTTTATAATGGCATTACTTGTGGACAGATTGAAACTTTTATATCAAAAATATGAGAAAGAAAAGCAAGAAGGGAAGGATGTTTTTGATACTCTTTTTCAGTATTTAGAAATGGCGGTCTACACTTATGTAAAATTGAATGGACAACAGGACGACTGTGACAAAGAAGAAGCCATTTTTGATGAACAAGTGACTTTGGCTGGGGAAGGAAAGGAGAAAGAGAAAAAGGAAAAAGAGACTTTAAGACCTATAAAAGCAATCAAAAAAGAGAAAAACAAGATGAAAAAGAGATATTATGTTAGAAGACAACAGAAAGGAGGAAAGCAGAGAAAAAGGGAGGTGGAGAGGCAAAGGGGTAAAGAGGACAGAGAGAAGAATAAGCAAGGGAGAAAGGGGACGAGAAGCCTCAATAGTAGAGAGCAAGATGTAAAGAAACAAGAGTTTTTTAGAGATAATGGGTAAACTTTATTGATAAAGGGATTCTAAAGGTACATAAGATTGTTTTTTATATTTGTATTTAGAAATAATTTTAGAAAGTTGGAAATAATGTGTAATTTAAAGTGTGATAAAATGTTTAATATAACTTAGTGAAACTTGTCTTAAGAAAAGGGGAACATTTTATGAAATAAGGATTTGAGATATGATGTGGGGGGGGGAAATAATGGTGGAAAATATAAGTATTCCCAAAAGGCATGTTATTTAATTGAAATGGATAAAATGGTTAAGATATAAAGGAGTTGGAGAGAAAGATACAAATGAATGTCAATATTAATTAGATTGTGTTATTTCAGTGGGAATTTTTTTTTTGAAAGAGATTTGAAGTAGGAAAGCAGGAATACCTTAATGAAATAATGATTTAAAATATGTGACGTGGGGGGGAATAATTATGGAATGTAGGTGCTCCCACAAAAGTATGTTAATTAACTGAAAAGTAATGTGCTAAGTGTTTATGATATAAAAGAATATGAACATTAATGAATAGATCAGTACTGGTATTGATAATACTGTATAATTTTAGAATGTACCAAATAGAATCCCAATGTAAGTTAGGTATTTTATATTAAGTATTATAAATGTAGGGGAAAGAGGTAAAGGCGTCATACTCCAATTAGTGTACAGGAGAAGCTTTTTTTTTAAAGAAGAAAGATAAATCGATAGCTGGAAATAAACAGACAAAGAATAATAAATATTATGATTTGAATTGAGATGAGATAAATAAAATAAAATTAAGAGAATCTAAGAGAGAGAAGAAGCTATATATAAAATTGAAAATGGTAATAATGATATGGAATGGCATATAAAATGAATATGAATTTGAGTTGGTGTCTGTACAAAGAGTTTTGACCCGGGATTAAGCAACTTTCAGAAAAGATGTTTTGTTTTTTTTATGTTTATATGTTTTGTATTCTTATGTGTTTATGTTTGAATGAGTTAATAAAACCTTGGAGAAAGGTTAGAAAAGGACAATGGAGAGAAAGATAGAAGAAAATAAAGCAAGTTAGAAAGGGAAAATATGTGATTGTAAGGAAATGTGTTAATGTTGTTAAACTTTCAAATAATTTTTAGAAATTTTTAGAAAAAAGGTTTTATGTTTATCTTGTATGTTTTGTATGCTTTTAAAAATTAATAAAATTTGTTTAAAAAAAAAAAAAAAGACTTGCGGACTTCAACTCCCAGAATTCAATCTGGATAATCCCCAGCGCTTCTGGTTGAGGAATTCTGGGAGTTGAAGTCCCCAAGTCTTAAAGTGGCCAAGGTTGGAGACCCCTGGACTAGAAGACCTCCAAGGTCTCTTCCAACTCTGTTATTCTAATCTATATGG